TCTTGAGTTTTAGCGGGATTCACAACCCCCTCCCTAGCTCCCAACTGTGTCATGATGCACTTTTGTCAATGGATGGCTGTCAGATTATAGATGCTGGGGGCGTATACAGGTGAGGGATTTCATAGTCCTCCCTCTTGCTGATGTCCCTCTCCCTATATGTTTTCACTTGCTGACTTGCTTTGTTTCAAATTTGTCTGTAATATAGACTCAAACGTTCAAAACAATCTGCTTGAATTTACACACTATGTGAGAAGTAAGTTAGATAATCAGTAGGTACTCCACATTTATTAATATGTCCCCTCGTAAGTTTAAATTTACTGCAGGTAAAGGGAATTATTGAGATTTACATCCACTTTCCTCAACCTGTATCTAAATAACATGATTTATTCCCAAATGTTCATTTTATATAGCAGTGACTCTTTTTATATTTTATAAAAGTTACATTTTTCTTTTATTTAAAAAAGTAAATCACATCCTTTTAGAATAAAAAAAGGAAATGTAAGGTTATTTTGGCTTCCAAAGGCAGGATTAGTCTTTTCATTTTGTGTAAAAATAGCATCCATATATTAATAACATAATAAAACATTATCTTTAGTGTATTTCAAATGCTTTTCCATTAAAATTTTCTCATTAGAGCCTTTTATTAATGATCCTAATGCATTTTCTATGAAATTTTACTACCATAAACTGCATAACTGATTCAAAATTTCTGATCCCCATAGTGCACAGAGTTCAACATTGTAGTTATCTAGACAAATTTTTAATTGTATATCAGTGTTACACACAGATTTTTATAAGTAAATGTTTCTTTGGTTTTGCAATGCTGTATTACCGTGTTTCTTTTCTTGGCTAAGATCCTTGATATCAGTTTATTTTCTTTTTGTTTTTACCTGTTTATTATAATTTTGCTTTTTTGTTTTTTATTTATTTATTTATTTTCAGAGAGTCTCACTCTGTTGCCCAGGCTAGAGTGTGTGGTATCAGCTTAGCTCACAGCAACCTCAAACTCCTGGGCTCAAGTGATCCTCCTGCCTCAGCCTCCCGAGTAGCTGGGACCACAGGTATGTGCCACCATGGCCGGCTAATTTTTTCTATATACGTTTTTAGTTGTCCAGCTAATTTCTTTCTATTTTTTTAGTAGAGACAGGGTCTTGCTCTTGCTCAGCCTGGTCTCGAACTCCTGAGCTCAAACAATCCGCCCGCCTCGGCCTCCCAGAGTGCTAGGATTACAGGCGTGAGCCACCACACCCTACCTGTTTATTATAATTTTGAATAAAAATTTGCAACTTTGTATATACACTTTACGACAACGTGAGATTTAGTTCAAATATGAATCAAGCATAGGTCTATCACAATTAAATTATATATGTGTTTGGGTTTATAAATATGACTCCAAATTGTTCATGGCTTGTCTTGTACATTTCTTTTTTGGCTTGCTTGTCAGTGGTTGTTTTATCCTGTCTAGGTGAGTAGTCATGGAAGCAGTCTTAATTTCATTATGTGTTTATTGATGAATCTGTATTTTCTTTGTGCGAGAGAAATACTTGTGATTTCAAGGTAATTTTTTGGAAAGTTTTTTACTCTGCATCTCTTTTAGTTATTTAAAAAATAAATTGTGGGCCGGGCGCGGTGGCTCACGCCTATAATCCTAGCTCTCTGGGAGGCCGAGTCAGGCAGATTGTTCGAGCTCAGGAGTTCGAAACCAGCCTGAGCAAGAGCGAGACCCCGTCACTACTAAATTTAGAAAGAAATTAATCGGACAACTAAAAATACATAGAAAAAATTAGCCAGGAATGGTGGCGCATGCCTGTAGTCCCAGCTACTCGGGAGGCTGAGGCAGTAGGATTGCTTGAGCCCAGGAGTTTGAGGTTGCTGTGAGCTAGGCTGACGCCACGGCACTCACTCTAGCCAGGGCAACAGAGTGAGACTCTGTCTCAAAAAAAAAAAAAAAAAAAAAAATTTTCCATGTCATTTTGTCTGTGATTTTTAGAGTGCTAGGATGACAGGTGTGAGCCACCGTTCCCCAGCCTCAAGCAGGTTTTTTTGTTTGTTGTTTACTTCAAGGGCAGTGAAGAATGGAATGACTGGTGTTGTAGAAGTTGGTTTCTAGTATCTTGTTGAGAACTTTTGCTTGTATCTTCATCAGAAATATTGGCTTTTAGGTTGTTGTCTTGTTTTGCTTGGTTTTGTTTTTTTTGGTAGTGTCCCTATCTGGCTTTAGTATGAGGGTAATGATGATATTGAAAAATGAGTCTGGAAATTTCTTCAATTTTTTGGAAGTGTTTGAGAAGAACTGACATTAATTCTTGTTTAAATGTTTTGGGATTTCACCTAGCATTGGGATTTCTTTTTTGAGGGATTTTTATTTATGGCCTCACTTTTCTTTCTCATCGGTCTGTTCAGTATTTCTGTTTCTTCATGATTTAATCTTGGTGGGATGTTCTTTTCTAGGAATTTATTTATTTCCTCTAATTTATTCAATTTGTTTTTATATAATTGTTGATGGTAGTCTTTTTTTTTATTTCTGTGGTATCAATTATAATGTCTTGTATTTTATTTACACTCTCTTGGATCCTTTTTTTTTCCTCTTGGTTAACTAGCCAAAAGTTTATCTATTTTGTTTTCATTTAGAAACTCAACAATTAGTTTTCTTGTCTTTTTATTGTCTTTCTAGTCTGTAATTAATTTTTTTTCCTCTGATCTTTATTGTCTTCATTATGCTACCATTGGAATTATTTTGTTCTTCTTGTTCATTTTCCGTGGGTATTAAAGTTACATTGTTTATTCAAGATCTTTTTTTCTTAATGTAGAAATTTTTCACTGTAAGCGTCTATCTTAAAACTGCTTCTGTTACATCCCAGAAATTGTGGTTTGTTGTGTTTCCCATTTTATGTATCTCACAGTACTTTTTATTTACCTCTCAGATTCTTCTTTGACCCATTGATTTCTCAAGATCATGTTGTTTAATATCCACATAAATGCGAGTTTTCCAAATTTCCTGTTAATTTTTCATTCTATACCATTGTGATTAGAAAAAAACTTGAAATAATTTTCATTTTCAGCAGGCTCTGGACTTGTGTGTGTAAAAGGATGCTCCAGTTTCTCAGGAGCATGCACATGGCAGGCTGACCCGACCTGAAGGGTGGGCTCAGAGCTCGGGGAGCAGGGAGGTGTACGACCTGGAGAGGGGGCTCTGGTAGATAAGTTGCTGTTTGCCTCTTAAGCACCAGGGCCCCACAGTTGCAGGTTGGCTGGGGAGAGAACGTGACTCTCCTTGCCCCGCCCCACCTCAAAGGGCATAGCCTTCTGCACCTGGCATGAGGGCCCCCAGGCTGGGGGTGGGGTGATACCCCAAACTAATGGTGAACAAGACTTTCGAGTTGGAGACCCCAAAGATGGTGGCGAACCAGACCTGGACAATGGCACTCAGGAGATGGCCAGAGCTGGGCCAGTGGGCCGGATTAACAGCCTGCCAACTGTTTCTTTGGCACTAGAGTCCCGCCGATTCACATCTGCCTAGCAGAGAATGGCTCTCCTTGTCCCACTGAGAGCCGGCCGAATTGCTGGCACTCTCCAAGGGCATAGCCTGCAGCTCACTGTTCAACTCCTGTGTGCTGGTCCCGCTGACCTACTTGGGTGTGGTGCTTGTCTCCAAACTCCAGTATACGGTTGCTGGAAGCCACTAGTCAGACCAGTCCCTTCTCAGCCTGATGTGTTTCCAGAATAGTGTACCCGAGAGTTCAGTGTGGCTCCCGCTTTTGTGTCCTCTCCACAGTGCCTGATGCCCCATGTCATGGCTTTGTACTGACTTCACGCGTGTCCCTATCTGAGTGGGTGGGGAGGTCTGTGGAGGTGGTGGGTGTCATCCTGTGGGTCAGATTGCCCAGTGCCAGGCAGCCGGCCCGGTGCAGCCCTCCCACGCTCTAATCCCTGTTGTATTTCTCACACTCTCCAATTTTTGCGAACGTATCTCCCTTTCACCTTTTTTCCTGTACTGCATTTCCCACGCTGTTTCTCTGCAAATTCACAATGCTGTTTTCAGGGTGAGTGATCCACTCATGTGTAGCCTTCTGTGTTTTCACCTCCTTTTCTGGGAGTGGTGAGCCAGGAGACCACCACTAATCTGCCATTTTTCCCTCCTTGGTATTTTAAATTGTTTTAAAAGTAATTCATAGATCCTCACTTATTTAGGGTCACTTGAGTATTTATTTTTGACTTTTGATTGGGACATATTTCTTTGTTTCTTTGATGCCTTGTGATTTTTGTTGAGATTTTGGTCATTTAAAAAACAGCTACCTATCCTATCGTTTGTCAAATGGCTTTGTAGGGAAAGAACTGATACCATTTAGCCATACTAGACATTCCAGGGGTTCCTTCAACTAGGTGTTAACATGTACCTTCTCTGGACTGCTGTTTATTTTTCAATTAAAAAGGAGCTTCTCTATGTTTGTTTTTTTTTCTTGAAAGCATTTAATCTCTTGCTTCCCCTTGGCAAATGTCATTGGTAGTGCAGTCGCCCTGTTGCTGTAACAAGCCGTCTTCTTTGTTCTCAGTGGACCCATCCTGTCATTTGAACTATATCTCTATTCTCTTTAGCACTCTATCGTAAAGGAAGCAATAACCATCTTTAGAGAGCCCCGGAAAAACTCAGATATTTGGACATATGTTCCACTTGATCCTTGTTTCCTGAGGGAGAAACAAGGAGTGGAAGGTTTTTTCCTGATTTCTCTCTGCTGTGGTGCACAAAAGTGAAGAATTTTTTCTTACTGAATCTGTTCGTTATTGGCTTTGTGTTCACTGGGGTACTGCAAACTCAACTGTTTTTTTCTTTAGCATATTGTGATAAGTTCATACATCAGTGGAGAAACAAGGGCCTCAGATTTTTGATTCAAGCATCATGATGATGTTCTCAGCTTGATATTATTTTGTGTATTTTTGTTGTAAAGTATATTCACCCAAATATAGTAATTGGAATTTTAAAAACCTTTTATATCTTTCAGATATATTTTCTCATTACACCCAAGGTCTACAGAAAAACCAGTGCATAGAAGCTCCAATTCAAAAAGTGATATTGGGAATATTTGGGAATCGTGGCCTTGAAAATATACATTTAAAGAAAGAATGGGAATGTGAGGGTGAGTTTCAAGGGGAGAATGGATGTTATAATGGACAAACGAAATGTAGGACAATTATCTATAATGAAAACATCACTGATAGAAAAGGTCAGAAATGTAAACCACTTTGGGAAAAATCTCCATTTTTGTCAGTTACTTTTGCTGAACCACATGTTTCTGTAAGTGAATATCAACATCAACATTTGGAACATAAATTTTATCTAAAAGGAAATTTGGAAAATTTAAATAGTGACCTAGGCCATATTCAAAATAATGATTTGAATCAATTAAAATGTAGAATTGGGTTAAATGTTCAGTCAAATATTTCTGAAGATCTGAGATTTAAAAATGAAAGGAAGGTTTCTATATGTGATCAATTTGATGGGTCACTTGTTAAAGATTTATTATTACTACACCAAAAATATGACAAAATGTACAACTTTGATCAGAATGGGAAGCTATTTGCCCATTCATCATTGCTTAAGCAATATCAGGGAATAGATAATTGGACAAGATATCACACCTATGACAAAACTTCAGTGTCCTTTAGCCAGGGCTCTACCCCAAGCTATTACCAGGATATTTATCTTGAAGATAAAAATTATCAATATCCTAATTCTGAGAAAATCTCTAACCAAGGCTCTAGCCCTACAAAACATCAGAAAACTTATTTTCCAGAGGACTACTACAAATGTAAAAAATGTGAGAAAGTCTTTTACCAACATTCTAAGCTTATTTTCCATGACTGTATTCAAATTCAAGAGAAGTCTTATGAATGTAACAAATATTTAGAAGCCTTTTCCCAGTCATCAACTCATACTCAGCGTGAAGGAATCTGTTTTGGAGTAAACTCATACAGTGATAATAAATGTGAGAAAGTCTTTAGCCAATCATCAAATCTAAAAAAATATGAGATAATTCATACTGAAGAGAAACCCTACAAATGTAGTGAATGTGGCAAAGCCTTTAACCGTAGTTCACATCTTACTCGTCATCAGAGAATTCATACAGGAGAGAAACCTTACAAATGTAAAGAATGTGGCAAAGCCTTTATTGAGAATTTATATCTTACTAATCACCAGAGAATTCATACTGGAGAAAAACCCTACAAATGTAAAGCATGCAGTAAATCTTTTAGTCATTATTCAAGTCTTACTCGTCATCAGAAAATTCATACTGAAGGCAAACCCTACAAATGTAGTGAATGTGGCAGAGCCTTTAACTGTAGTGCACAACTTACTCGTCATCAGAGAATTCATACAGGAGAGAAACCTTACAAATGTAAAGAATGTGGCAAAGCCTTTAACTATAATTCAAGTCTCACTGAGCACCAGCGAATTCATACTGGAGAAAAACCCTACAAATGTAAAGCATGCAGTAAATCTTTTAGTCATTCCTCAAGTCTTATTTTGCACCAGAATATTCATACTGGAGAGAAACCCTACAAATGTAAAGAATGTGGCAAAGGCTTTAACTACAATTCACATCTTACTGAGCACCAGAGAATTCATACTGGAGAAAAACCCTACAAATGTAAAGCATGCAGTAAATCTTTTACTCATTATTCTGGTCTTATTAATCATCAAAAAATTCATACAGAAGAGAAACCCTACAAATGTAGTGAATGTGGCAAAGCCTTTAACCGTAGTTCACGTCTTGCTGGGCACCAGAGAATTCATACTGGAGAAAAGCCCTACAAATGTAAAGCATGCGGTAAATCTTTCATTTATTCCTCAAGTCTTATTTCACATCAGAAAATTCATGCTGGAGAGAAACCCTACAAATGTAAAGAATGTGGCAAAGCCTTTAACTATAATTCATGTCTTACTGGGCACCAGAGAATTCATACTGGGGAAAAGCCCTACAAATGTAAAGCATGCAGTAAATCTTTTGCTCATTCCTCAAGTCTCATTTGGCATCAGAAAATTCATACTGGAGAGTAACCCTACAAATGTAAAGAATGTGGTAAAGCCTTTAAGAATAATTCATGTGTTACTGAGCATCAAAAAATTCGTTACCAGAGAAAAACTCTGTAAATGTAAAGCACACAGTAAATCTTTACTCATCGTTCAGGTTTTATTCAGCATCAGAAAATTCATACTGGAGAGTGACGCTATAAATGTACAGAATGTGGCAAAGCCTTTTACCATAGTTAAAAGTCAAAAGAACTCATAGTAGACTCTACAGATGTAATAAATAAGGATATCATTTTATCAAAAATATAAAATTTAGAAATCACATCACAGAGAAAAAAATTTTATAGATTCAATAAGCAAAATATTTAATTAAAACTCATCTAATTATATTAAGGGATTCCCAGAAAAAAGGACTAAAGTAGATTGCTGTACGTTTTAAGGCTTCAATCAGTGGTTTAGAAAGTAGATAGAGTGGTGGATGAATCAAATTTTATGGGCATAGGTTTAAAATACTATGTTGGAGATGAATACATGGTAGAGATGAAGATACCTGTGGGAGATTGTTCTAGGCAGAATCAGCAGGGTGTTTCCTGTGGTTAAACAAGACTCCATGTTTCTCAAGGTCTAAATAGAAAGTATAACCCCAACTTAGGTTAGATCCACTGTAGGTAGGTGACCTTCTGGGGAAGGTGATCCACAGGTGGCAGGGACCTCCCTCATTTCAACTCAGTCCATCAGCGAATCTAGTCATGCCATCCTTGCTCTGTTTGAGGCACTGGGAAATGTGGGGGAGCAGTTGGTAAGTCAGTTGCTTTGAGTATTTTAACCTGAAATATTTCACCCAATTTTTAGGCTACAATTCCCCATGATCTTTTATAGCCCATCTTTTTTTTTTTTTTTTTTTTTTTTTTTGAGACAGAGTCTCACTCTATTGCCCAGGCTGGAGTGCCATGGCGTCAGCCTAGCTCACAGCAACCTCAAACTCCTGGGCTCAAGCGATCCTCCTGCCTCAGCCTCCCAGAGTGCTAGGATTACAGGCGTGAGCCACCGCGCCCGGCCTTTTACAACCCATCTTATCCTTTCACCCACACTGTCTACAGTGGAAAGAGGATTGTGAATTTTGGAAAAAAGTACAACAAAGTTGGGTTTCAGGTTATATTCACACATTTAATGTTGGCACAATTGAAATATAATAATACATTTTGTTCTGTAGGTATTTCTGTTGAGGTATATGAAGGAAAGACTGTTGTATAGTATATGAATAAAATATGTGTATTTTGTATGCGATGAATAGGTAGCAGTCCAGGACTGATGAAATGGTGCAGTGCAGTGACTTTGTGGGGTACTAGTTTGTTTCCATTTACCCTTTCTGATGTTGTCTACAGTTAGTGTGCTCACGCTTAAGTCAGCTCAAGTTAGCTGCCCCACCTTTCAGCATCAAACCACATTCTAAACAGAACAAAGAGTAAATGCGAATCTCATAGAACACAGGGAATTTTATTGGAAACCATTACTTCAGGCCATTTTCCCTTAGCATGTCTGTCTTTAGCTCACTGACTAAAATTATGATATGATCACTCTATGCGGAAAAGTCTCTCTGAAACACAAGAGCATGTATGGGAACCTAACTGGGAATGACTGTTTTTACAAGGATCATTTCTTAGTCCATGTTGCTATGAAGAAACACCTGAGGCTGGTTAATTTATTAAGAAAAGAGGTATATTTGGCTCACAGTTCTGCAGGCAGTACAAGAAGCATGGCAACATCTACTTCTGGTGAGGGGCTTTTGGGAATTTGCACCTCAGAAGAAGAAAAAGAACAGACATCACATGACAAGACAAAAAGAAAGGAGGGAGGTGCCAACTGTCTTTAACCAGATTTCATGGGAACTGGGAGTGAAGAACTCACTCAATCCTGCAAGAATGGCATCAAGCCATTTATAAGGGATCCTTTTCCCCATGACCCAAACACATTCCGACTAGGCCCCATAATTAATATTGGGGATCAAATTTCAAGACGAGATTTGGAGGGACAAATATGAAAATTATATCAAAGTGCATTACAAAATATGATATAAAGGCCATCACACTGGCAGAGGGTTTTGTAAAAAACCCCTAAATTTTAGAATACATAGCCCAGATTTACAAGACTCAATTGTGCATTCAAATGATGTGTTTCTTATTGTGCTTATTATTTTATGGTATGCTTGAAGAGGTGTTTAATCATCTGATTGTTACTTATCACTTTATAAGAAAAATATTAAACACAATATGATAGTGAGAATGTCATATTCAACTCCATTATCAATTATAATGTCTGATAATCTTTTACTATGTGTGTTTCATATCTTATGAAATAATAAATAAATTGCAATTTGTTTTAAATTGGATTATCCTGTTGCAGGACACGACTGCAAGTGGCTTTTTGGGAGGCGATTCCAGAAAGCACAAGGAGGGCAGTAAAGGAAGTGCAGTAGGGAAGAATAAAAAGCCAATAAAGGCTATGCTTTTATCCAGATTTGTTTTTATAAATTTTCTTACATTTGGAGTTACAACTCTTACATTACCACATGCCTTTGGTGTATTCCTAGAATGATTTGTCTGCTAACTCAGGGATAAGCTATGACTTGGATGCTGCTGCGGCTGTTAAAATCAGTGTGCATCTGAATCACCTAGAAGGCTTGTGCTGTTTTGGATTGCTGTGCCCTCCTTCATGCTCATTATTCAGTGGTTCTGGTATGTAGCCAAAGAATATGCATTTCTTGCAAGTTCTCAGGTTTCTTCAGTGCTGCCTGTCCAGTGAGCCCATGTAGAAAGCCAATGTCTTGGTGCACTTTTATGATTGTCTTCTCCAGTAAGGATACTGGTTTACAAGCTGTGCACTCAGATACAGCGGTGACCATGAATAGTTTTAAGAAGATTCTGGTCTTACTGTCCAGATGGAAAGGGAACGCCAAAAACGGGGTTTCCTCTATGGTTTCAGCTTGGGAGCTTGAGTGCAGTTCCTGGTCCACAAAGGTCAGGTAACGTTCACTCTGGGCTGGAGTGCAAACTCTGAATTCTCAGACCAAACGCGTCGTCTGTGTGAACACACTAGATGAATCCTTGAGTCTGAGAGGGGAGAGAATTCAAGAATAGGGTCCTTTGAAGGGCGGGTTATTGTACCAGAATTTGTCCTCTTGCTTTTGGGGCCATGTGAGAGAGATGTAGAAAAAGTGGTGCTGGTACTGGTGGTTTGGGTGTATTCGGTTACACCCAGAACTGCAAGACAGGCCTTATTTTTCTGAACACTGCTCATCACACAGAGGTGAACTTTCTCAGGGTATTTTCTATAGTTACCAGAATTTTATCCAGGGGACTAGTATTTTTTTTTTTTGCCATTTCATCAAAGATACGGTTTCTAGCGTTGGCTTCACATGTTCTTGAAACCTACTACAGCATTCCTGTCTTATTTTACCAGCTTTAAAATTCCTTTCAGTTGACACCCTCACAAATGTATTATGAGGATCTTTACTGCACATGCATTAGTGAAATTGCCTAAATGGACTTCTTACCTCATATCTGATCACAAATTTCAGATTATAAATGGGTTTGATGACTTTTAGTTTCAGGCAATATTTGTTTCTGTTTTAAATAATTTGACAATTTGTGAGTTTTGCTTTGTTGGAGTATTCTTTAAAATCAATTATATTCTTCTAAAATTAATTCTAATTCATTGTTTAGGGTCTAATTGATTTTGACTTTGTTTCTGTTTAACCTTCTGAAAAAACACATTCAAATGTCACTTGTATTCTAAATGACTCTTCTGTTTTATACTTATGTCTTTTCAATTATACACATAAAATTCTCATGCTTTATTTTGGTGTTATTTAATGTCATTTTTCTTTAAATAAATCATCCACTCATCAGTAATACAATGTATATAATGTTCTGTATGGACAGAAATGATTGTACAAATATATATATATAGGTTACCTTTTTTACATGTACAGTTCAGTGGCATTAAGTACATTTACATTGTTATGCAACAATCATATCCATATATGGATATGATTATAGATTATGATTATAGATTATACTCCATAAAATTATGTGACTGTACTTAATACCACTGAACTTTACATGAGAAAATTAGTTAAAAT